AAAAAATTAAAAATTGAACTTCCATTTGACCCAGTGATCCCACTTCTAGGAATATACCCTAAGAAGCCTGATACACCAATCAGAAAGAATATATGTACCCCCATGTTCATAGCAGCACTATTTACAATAGCTAAGATCTGGAAACAGCCCAAGTGTCCATCAGTAGACGAATGGATCAAAAAGCAGTGGTACATGTACACAATGGAGTACTATGCAGCTGTAAGAAAAAAAGATCTCTATCCTTTGAGACAACATGGAGGGACCTTGAAAGTATTATCCTAAGCGAAATAAGCCAAGCAGAGAAAGACAAGTATCATATGATCTCACTTATTTGTGGAATATAATGAACAGAACAGTCTGAGGAATGGGGTAGTCCCAGAGACATGGAAGTTTGGTACAGACTGACAATCCCCAGAAGGAGGGGGGGGGGAGATAAATCACAGAAGTTATATACATGTATACATGAACAATGGGCATGGACAATAAGGCTGGGGACAGGGCGGGGAGGGAGAGGGAGGGGGGAATCAGTGGGGGGAAAAGGAGAAACATCTGTAGCAAAAATAAATTAATTAAAAAAAAAAAGCTGAAATTCCTTCCCGCACCTCTAATTACCTTGATGGAGGGCAAGGAAGGAGTTTGTGGTCTTTTTCCAGGTCTTTGGCTTCTGTTTAAAGCACAGACAGTTGCCCGGTTGGTGTGGCTCAGTGGTTAAGCATCGACCCATGTACCAAGAGGTCGCCAGTTCGATTCTGAGTTAGGGCACATGCCCAGGTTGTAGGCCAAATCCCCAGTGGGGGGCATGCAGGAGGCAACCAATCAATGTTCTCTCTCATTGGTGTTTCTGTCTTTCTCCTCCTCCCTTCCTCTCTAAAATCAATAAAGAAAAAATTTTTTTAAATAAAGCAGACACTTCACAGACAAGAGGAGTAGGCATAGGTATAGGCTGATTTAGATACTTGGGTCTTGGACTACAGGTTGTGTTGAAAGGGGATGGTCTTCTATCTGTGGGGTCTCTTCTGGACCTCTGGACTCATTTTTATATTGAGCATTTGATCATTTTGCCTTCTCCTCTCCTACCCCTTCAGCACTCTCTCAGATCTCAAATTATGCTAATTAATTTTGGCAATCTGTGAAAGTGAATTTTATGTCAAAATTTAGGTAGTTTATGCAAAGAAAATTTTAGTATATACATGTACATATGTTTAAAAGTTCTTATATAGTGCAGATAAACAACAGTAACTTTTTGTTGTTAATTCTCACCTGGGGATATTTTTCCATTGACTTTTTTTTTTTTTTTTTTAATCCTCACCCAAGAACATTTTTAAATTTATCTTCAGATAGAGTGGGAGAGAGGGAGGAAAAGAGAGAGAAACATTGATGTGAGAAAGACACAGCGACTGGTTGCCACCCACACAACCCCAGCTGGGGCTTGGGACAAACTGCAACTGAGGTACGTGCCCTTAGCGGGAACTGAACCCTGGACTCTCTGGTCCATGGGCTGACACTCTAACTGCTGAGCCAAACCAGCCAGGGTTCCATTGACTTTTTAGAGAGAGTGAAAGAAAGAGAAGGAGGGAGGAGAGAGAGAGAGAGAGAGAGAGAGAGAGAGACAGACAGAGACATCACTGTGAGATATCAATTAGTTGCCTCCCATACAACCCCAACCTGGGCTGGGGATTGAACCTGCAACCCAGGCATGTGCCCTTCACCAGAGTCGAATCCTCTACCCTTTGGTACACGCGCTAATACTCTAACCACTGAGCAAAACCGGCCAGAGCCAAAAGTAACTTTTTAATGGCCCTCACGTGCATATATTTGTATTAACATAAACCTTGGTTCCTGACACTGTCATCACTTGTCAATGCCTGGCTTGTTTTTAATTTACTCATTCATTTATTTCTCAAATAATGAACACCTATTAAATCAACCACCTGACATGAGACTAGAACATTGGTAATAGACTGCCCAAGCTTTCCTATCGAAATGCTTCTTTATAGCTTTTCAATGCACGAGAATCCAAATGCATAAATAACATTTCTATATCTCTCTTGAATTAGATGTGGAATTGTGTACACATGTAGTTAGAGGATCTCTGAAAAGTTGAGGATCACCCTCAAATTCTTTACCACACTTGGAAGACTAACTCCAATGTGTGGATCAAAGATGGAAATCCATTTCAAGGTGGAAGCCAAGTGGGTGCAAAAGTTTTAAAAGAATAAAACACATATGTAGTCTTGAAAGGTGTTACTTTTGTTGGTAAAAATAGTCAACATCTACGGCCATATCTGGTTAGCTATTGGCCTATTAAATTCATACATTAGGTGAGGTTGTGACCCAAGGTAGGGACATTGGTTTAAGGATGAGATATATCAGAGATTAATCTTAGGAAGAAGAGATCAGAAGGAATTTCAATAAATGCAACTGTTAAAGATTGGCTTCAAGGCTAATAATACTCATTAGAGCTCTGGTTATTGGGATTTAGATAATAGAAAACAGTAAACTAACGGAGAAAAAACAGCCACCAAGGAATAGCAGGACACAAGAAACCTGACAACCTGAAGATTTCCACTAGATAGTTGACTGTTTCTCCCAAAAAGCGGGGAGAGGGAGAAGCTGACAACAGATTATGATGTTCAGGCAAAGTGGCAAAGAATATACCAAGGAGACTGACATATGGATAGACCTCCTCTGACACCAGTTGGCCTCATGTAAGACTGAAACTTAATAACACTGTCCAATGAATCGGAGTACAGGAAGGCCTACAGCTCCATATGGACTTGAAATGATATTGGAATAGGAACAAATATTATGTGCCTTCTTGGGAAAGAACACTAGTTGGCAATCTTTACGCAATACCCAATTGTGCCTTCATTCATCCAACAAATATTGAAAACCTACTAGACAATAAGCTTTGTCATTAGACCCACGGTGAGATCAGGGGCAGGCTTTGTTTTTGTGGAATACCTGCAGAAATGAGGTGAAGTGTGTTTGAATAGTTGGAGGATATTAAGTGTAGCTAGACCTAGAGAGTAATGTGATAATATGATGAGCCAGGACACACGGGAAATACAAACACTTGAGCACCTTGTAAGCCATGTTAAGAATTTTGGTTGGACTGTACCTTCGTTGATATGAAGTCACTGAAGGATTTTTATTTGAGTTTATTAAAAATTTTTCAAAGTAATACATGCACAAGGTAAAAAATTAAATAGTACAGAGGACTTGAAATGAAAAACACAGTTCCCCACCCCACCCTTTTTAACCCTAGTCCCATCCCCTAGAGGCAATGCATTTAACAATTTCTATTTTTAGATCTTCTGTTAACTAACTTCCTAACATTAAATAATATGTTTGAACAATAATTTCTTGGCTTATTAACTTTAGACACTCTTTAATAATACACCATTACAAAAGATAAGGATTTAACTTACACTATCCTGTTACCTTTGCCTATCTTTCCCCAAATTTTTGATATCATTTTAATACTTCTATTGGTTTAATTTATAGCTTCGAACAGCATACCAATCCTCCAGTTCTTGTTCCATTAACTGTAGACTTTTTTCATCCCCACTTTAGATATACAAGTAGCCCTAACTCTTTCTTCCACCTCTTTCCACAGCTAATTTTCACCTTCTTTCTGCTCTTTTCCCTTAACATGTCAAGATTAATTACTATCAATTTCATTTCTGAATAAACACTTAAGCCTTTCAGGTTTTGTCTATAGGCTGATCAGAACTAAATAGCATGTACATTATTTTTGCTATGTAAATACTGTTTACTGAGAGCCATGGAGAAGCTTGGACATTTTTTTCCATATGCATCCAATGTCATATCTGTGCCACTTGAAAGGAAATATACCTACCGCCAATGTCAAATTGAGTATCTTTTTACATTCCACGCGTATTTTCTGTTGTTGTTTCAGAAATGAATTTATATCTCTTGACATATTTGTTTTGTTTTCTCTTGTTGGCTAAAGAATGTATGTTTCTCCACATTCTCAAACAGTCCAGCTTCTCAGGGAGCCTGAGACTGTGTGTGCTGTCGTCTGAACTGGGTCAGTCTGCTAGATAACTGACTGTCATTCTAGAATGAGAGTCCTGTTGGATAACTGTCACTCTAAGGTGAGACATCTTGTTGGTTATGTGACACTCTGGAGTGACACATCCTGGGTGAGGTCCATCATTTCCCAGATTCCGTTTCTTCATCTTTCCCAGTTCTCATCCTCATTTTGCTGGAGAATTTCCTCAAGGTACTCCCTCAGTAAGGGTGCAGAGAAGGTAGACTTTCTGAAAACTTGCATGTCAGAAAATACCTTTATTTTGACTGGACTCAACAGCTTGGTTTGCTACGGAATTCTGAGTACAAAATTTTTGTGATAAGCGGAGACACTGCTCCATTGGTTTCTAGCTTTCAGTGTTGCTGATGAAAAATCTGCTGCCAGTCTATATCTCATCCCTTTTTAGCTGAGCTAATTATGATGACCTAACTTTATTTTTGCTCTGGGCACTTTTAATGTCTTCTCTCTATCCTTAATATTTCAAAATTTCACAGGATTGTGTCTCGATGTAGGTTTTATCGGGATCCCCTCAATCTGGAGACCTAGTTCTTTCTGTTCAAGAATTTTTTCTATTTTCTCTTCCAAAAACCCCTCATGGTTAGCTACTGATTGTCTAGATCTCTTTCCTTTCTTCATATTTTCCACTATTTCTTTTTCCTCTATATCTAGGGAGATTCCCTCAACTTTATTCAATCTCATTTCACTTTCAAAGGGCTCTCCTTATTATCAGAGATTTTCCTTTCTTTGTAGCATCCTGTTTTCATCTTACAAATATACCTCAGAGCTCTCTGAAGTTCTAGCTAGGTTTTAAAGTTACTTATTCCATTTTAACTTTGTTTCCTCCAGAATTGGTTGTAGTTTTCAAATCTTCTCACTCTAATTGGTAATTTTTACTTACATGCCCATTCCCTGGTCCTTCCTCCCACCCTCCCACCCAGTGCTCAATGTCTGGGAATTGCTCGCTGACCATTTGCATTTAAGCATTGATATAACTTGACTTTTGTAGGAGTTGGTATGGGTTTCCTCTGCCATTGTATGGCTTGGTCTGTTTTGTTTTGTTTTTTTTTCCAGTAAGTCTCTACTATGACTGGAAACACTTGGTTACTTGAATAAATCTAGGGGGTCTCAACTGTCAGTGGAGAATTAGCTGATAGGCTAGGGGTTCACTTAATTCCACAAAAAGAGAAATTTCATTCTGGAGCACCAACTCCTACCTCTCCCTAGGCAGTTTATTCAATTTCTTTATATAAACCACAACCACAACAACAATAACAGCAACAACAGATTTTTCACTGGTACCAATAGCTGACTGCCTGTGTTCTATGCACAAGGGATGGGGTAGAATGGGATGGGGTTCAATTTTACAACTGGTATAATTCTTTAGTAGATAAACATTTCAGGTGCCCAAGTCTCTCTGGGGTTATGTTGTTCAGATCAGCTTATATTCTGTCTGAAAGGTACCTTCACTCTTTCATTCTTATTCATGCTTCATCCACTTTCTCTCTTCCAGAAATGTGTTGAGGTCTTCTTCACTCATAACCAAATGCCTTCTGTTTTCTTTGACTTCCATTTCAGTGGGGCCTGGAGAGGGAGGGGAGGTAAACTTATATGTTCAGTTCATCATCTTAAATTCAAAGTAACACTGGAAGCTTTTAAATAAGGTATGTGAGACATGGATAATTTTACATTTTTAAAACATCCCCAGGGATATACTGCTGAAAAATGGATAGAAGAGGTCAAGAACAGAAATAAATATTATCCTAAATAACTAAGGATCTAAGTTCCTTTCTGAGAACATGCAATGTCTGGGACTTTGGGGAAACAGGCACTTTACCAAAATAACCCATTATTAAAAACCCAATAAGCTAGTAGAATTCTGTCATGGTGCGCTAGTGGGAAGGACTGAACCCTGAATCACCTGCACCCTAAAAAGACTTGGATGACACCAAAAGGATCATCCCAGCTCTGTCTATTGGGAAGCACTAAAGGAGCCTACCTCACATTCTTCCTTGGAACTGGAATTTGGGATAAACAAAGATACTTTTTTGTTCTGATAAAATTAGATGAGGGGCAAGTCTAAGTAGCCAAAGTGCTGGCAGGTAGGGACATAAAGTTCCCTTTTGTTTGCTAGTTGGTTTCTTCATTGACTCATTTATTTGTTCAAAGCACTGTAGTTACTAATACCCAAACTCTAATCGGAATGCCCAGGTTCAGATTCCAGCTCTATCACTTGTTAGTCATGTCGCCTTAGGTTACACTTCACTTGTCCTCCATAAAGTTCAGCTGGCTTATTCCTAAGAAGGGGGTGGTCAGTTTCCATCTCATAAGATTACTGTGAAGATTCAATGAAACAATCCACATGAAGGAACCAGTCCAATACCTGGCACGTACGCAACACCCCACTTATTGATAGCAATTATTTTAAAGGTTGAACACTATTCAACATCTATGTTTAAAGCCCCGAGATATTCATGAAATAAGGGCAAATAATTCTATGGTCAAGAAATGACATGATAAAACAAATCCAAGGAAAAACATTATCTAGCTTAAATCTTATCATCTACACATCCACCCAATTCTAATAATGCTGTATTAAAACAACTAAATAAAAAGAAGTGAGCTAAAGGAAAATTGGCTGGATGTACTCAATGTCAATGCTAGAGCCCCAACTCTAGCTGCAACTACAGACAAATGAGAGCTTCTGAATACGATCAGAAGACAATTGAAAATCTTTGAATGCATTGTAATTAGATGCAATTTGAGTTGGCTATATCTAGTTCTCTGGTTCTAAAGTAAAGACGTCTATATGTTCGAAACTCGTATCTGCCCAACTAGTAAGTAATTCTTGACTGTTTTAGAAATCTGCGTCACTTGGGAAATATAAACACCAACACTGAGCCCAATGCCCATTGTTTGCTCAAGACAAGCACACTCGTGAAATTGTTCTGGGTTTTCAAGTGACTTCCACTCTTGATTTAATCAGAGAAGGAATTCTACCTGAACAATGGAATTGAATAAAGAGACCAAGCCCTAGGAACTTGCAAAACCCTGTGAATTTAGAGCCCTTCCTTTAGATCATAGAGCAACCCACCAGACTCCTCTTGGAGGCTGGTGCAGGAAGAGTAAGATAGCATGGGGTTAATTACACTGCATCTGTAAGAGCCATCTAAAAGTGAAGCCTAGCTCTCCAACGACAGTGCGTTAATTAGATAATAATAATGGCAGCCAACATTTTCTCTGTACCTACTAACTGCCAGTTACTGTTCCAGTCACTTTTAGAGGCACTAAAATGTAATCCTCACAATAATCCTATGAAATCGAGCCCGTTTTAGGGATGAGGAAATTGAGTCACAGAGAAGTTAAGGAAGTTGCCAGAGTCATACAACTAACAGGTGAAAGAACCAGAATTTGGACTCAGAGAGTCAAGTGTGAGACATGATGATCTTAACCTTTAGGCTGTGGGAAGCAGTCAGCTCACTACCCTGTGAACCAGCATAAAATAAAGCAATTCCTTACACAGCATGCACTGTATTCACAAACCTCTTCAAAATGACTGAGTCTCTATGACAACCCTGTGGGGAAGGAATTTTTATCATCTCATACACAGGAGTACTGAAATAAAATTATTTTCCCAAGAACTAACACTAGCTATGGGCTCTATTTCACCAGATTGCTTTTCAAAGCTCTTTAAAAACTACCCAAGACACAAAATATAAGAGTCCTCAGGGAGCTATGATAAATCATGGTAAATCTGTGTTTCAGTGGGGTTCTGTGCGCAGGGTTTTTGGAACAACTCATCAACAATAGAAGCCCAGCGAGTCCTCAGGATGTCAGGACAAGGACCGCTCTCCGTGGGCTGTGGCTGTGACAGTGACCAAGGCCTAAGGTTCTCAGAACTGGCCCAAACAGGGTCAGGAGTGAGTCTGACAGCTGAGAACTGAGGAGCAAACTCAAGAACAGAGGGCCTTGCTCCTGCGAAATTCTGATCCCCTTTCTTACTGTGTTCTTAACCCACTTTCTAGAGACACAACCAGGGGCAGTGAGCCCAGAGGACAGGCCAGTGCCCTAAGAGACAGAGGTCGAGGAGTGAATCCCCGTCTCTGCCTACCTCCCCACACCTCTCTACCTGCCACCTCGCTGGGCACTCCTTACATCTGTGTGAGGAGGTACAATTTCATTATATTTTCCTTCCATTCAGGCAGATAGGCCAGGCTGGTCGCCACTTCCTTCTGGATCGGCCAGGCCCAGGCCTCAAAGAAGGGGGCCAGGTTCTTCTGCACTTGGTGGGAGAACATCTTCACCCACAGGTTCATCTTGTTCACATTGTCTGTGGGCAAGTTGGTCTGGTTCCGATACTCAGTGAAGAGACGGATGAAGGGCTCCCAACCAAAGGCTTCCTGGAGCTGCAAGGAGAGGGAGGAGGCAGGATGAGACAGGGAGTCAGCAACAGGAAGACTCAACAAACACTCTGATAAATGGATTAATTTCTGCACTGAACCCCTTCAACACTAGTTTCATGGCTATGATGGACTCTTCTGTTTCACCTGCTGGCCCCGTGCCCTATACTCATATTTGAACCGTTTTCTTAAAATATGTTTTTATTGATTTTTTAGAGAGATTGAAACATCAATCAGCTGTCTCTTGCACGCCCCCTAGTGGGGGTTCGAGCCAGCAACCCAGGCATGTGCCCTGACCGGGAATGGAACTGGGACCTCTCAGTCCACCGGAGGACACTCAATCCACTGAGCCGCACTGGCTGGGCTTATATTCAAACCTTAAGAAAGGGCCTCTCAGCTAGCACAGTGCTCAACACAAAGTAGACACTCAGTAAGTGGTGGCTGTGGTCACATCAGCCATGATCATGTCAGTGTTTACACCGGTATCATTACTCACACATCTCACTAGCTCGTGGAAGTGGCGATAGGATGTTACACGGGGATTTTAAATGAGCTGAAGCAAAGAACTCCTTACATCTTCCAGAGTTGTGAAGTAAAACCCTGTATTTGGGGAACTCCTAGTCCTGTCCTGACAGAATCCTCATTAACTATAAGTCTTTGTCAATTTCCAAAGCAACTAAAATGGCCTTTAGGGGGGAAAAATGAGTCTGGTAGAAGCAGAAGACTATATGTGGGTAGCTAGACTTAAACATAAAGCATCATTTTAGAGAAAGCCATCCTAGGCCATCGGAAGCAGCCCGTTCGGCTGGGGTGTGGAGTTCCCTGAAACAACCTCAACTTTATTTCACAGATGAGGAACCGTGGGGTGCAGTGGCCCCTATGACAGGTTTATGCAGAGTCCCCCAGCGGTGTTACTGTCATTCTCATGGCCGTGGCCATGAGCAGAGGCCCTCGAGCAGGTAGAAGGCCAGACTATTCTGTGCCTGGCACGTGACAGAGCTCCAGAACCTGAGGTGATGAGACTCTCCACAGTGAGCTGAAAACAATCCGGGGACTCCGGCAGAACTGGGGTGTTTAAATGAAAAGTCAAGGCGAAGGCAACCTCCCTGTCCAGGCCGCGGAGGACTCTTGGATTGCCTTTAAGGTGGAAACTGAGGCACAGCCAAGTCATAATGAGAAGATGACTTCTCTCATCTGTGTGTGTGTGTGTGTGTGTGTGTGTGTGTGTGTGGTGTGGGGGGCTGTTTGGTTTTAGATAGCTATTAAATAGCATAGTTTGGCTTCAATCTCAGTTAAGTCTGGGTCTAAAGCCAGTGACAGTGACTATTTATAGCACTACACGTGTCTCTACCATGTTTCCACTTTCTCAATGCTTTCTATCTCATCTCATGCATCTCTTCGAGTTCATGGGGTGAGGGCGGGCAGTTAAATCCCTTAGGGTCCTGCAAAATGATGTGCTGAGAGGCAATGTCTATTAAGACTGTCACAAGTGGGCTTTGTCGGGGTCTCATAAACCTAGTATGGGAGACAGGTGTAGTGGGACGTCTCCCGGGTTACAAGACTACCGCCTGACCACGATGCTCCGGCATCCCCGCAGGAGGTTCCCACACCCACCGCTGTCACCTGGTATACCTGTAAGTATGTTTCCAGTGCTGTCCACGCATTCCAGTTTTTCACGTTGGGCCCCTTGCTCAGGTAGATCCTGACTCTCTTCTCCCGAACTGGGGGCCACAGGGCGATGTTGGCCCGGCCTCGAGGGATGCCCAAGACCGTTTCGTGCACGTAAACGCACCACAGGTTGCAGGTGGCCTCGGTGGTGTGTGGCGGGAACTCCCACTCCTGCCGCTGCTGGTTGCGGCCGAGCTCATGGACGGGGCCCCACAGCCCCTTGGTTCTGATGAGCTTCTCATTGATGAGCTCCTGCACCGACTCCAGGTGGCACATGATGGGGTACCCTGCATGCATCCAGCCTGCGAGACAGAGGAGGGGGAGGAGGGTTAGAGGGCTCCTCACACATTGTACAAAGTTTTCCTCTGTTTCGTACCTCCCCAGACACCCAGGAGCCCCGATGACTTCCAGAATCCCATACAGCTCAGAAGGCCAATCCACACCCTCCTGGGCCTCCCTCCTCTTCCTCAAACTCATCCTCGCTCTGATCTGACAGTATGTGCTTACGGGAGGGGAGGGGCCCCCGAACTGCTGTTCATGCTACTGTTCCGTTTTCTATGTTGATGGGCATGACCTGTCCGTGGGAACCTGTCATTATACTCTTTCCTCAAGATCAGTAACTCACTGAGGATATTCTCCTTCTCGTGTATTTATTTTTTATAAAATACATTTTTTTTCTTTATTGATTTGAGAGAGAGAGGAAGAGAGAGGGAGCGAGATAAACATCGCTGAGAGAGAACATCAATTGGCTGCCTCCTGCATGTCCCCCCACTGGGGATTTGGCCCACAACCTGGGCATGTGCCCTGACCAGGCATGGAACCGGCGACCTCTTGGTACATGGGTGGATGCTTAACCACTGAGCCACAGCGGCTGGGCCCCCTTCTCATTTAGATATATGTTTGCCCGCCTTGACATAATAGTGATCTTCTACATAAGCCAAGAAAACCAGGGTCTACAGTGATGTCCATGGCTCTTTAATTTCTATAGACCCCCACCCCCACCCCCAATTTTTTCGGCCTCTTGGCCCACTGGTAAAACGCCATCAAAATATCACTTTAGCCCTGGCTGGTTTGGCTCAGCAATTAAAAAGTCGGCCCGAGGACCAGGGAGACCTGGGTTTGGTTCCCACCAAGGGCACGTAACTCAGTTGCAGTTTGTTCCCGGCCCCGGTTGGGGTCGTGTGGGTGGCAACCGCTAGATGTGTCTCTCTCATGTCGATGTTACTCTCTCTCTTCTTCCCTCCCTCCCTCCCGCTCTATCTGAAGATAAATGCAAAAAAAAAAAAAAAAAAAAGTCCTCGGGTGAGGATTAAAAAAAAAATCACTTTAAATGTCTTCCTCGATGTCTATTGAGGGTACACAGAATACGTTACTTACCCATTCCACAATCGTTGGACATTTAGGTAGTTTCCCATTTTTCTATTTTTTGTTAAAGGAAATTGCTGAGTCTATTTTTTTTTAATACACTTTTACCTTTTCATGTAAATAGCAAGGATTACAACATTTATGTCTTGCTAGAAGAGCATGTTTACCCTGATGGCTGCCCCCTGCAGGCTGTTGCAGAAGGGAAGTCCCTTGGGGGCAGCAGGCACAGAGGGCTCTCCGACCAGGGCACCCACCTACTGAGATCTGCACGTCGGCCACAATCCTCTGAGGCAGGCGCAAGGGGAAGGGCTCGGCCCCCAGCCGTGCCACAGCCTGCATCACCTCGTCCCAGAGGCGAAGCAGCGGCTCTGGATTCTCCAGGGTTCGAAGGTTGGCGGTGGGCACGGTCAGGATGATGTTGTCTGTTGCCAGCTCTCCCCAGGGACCTGGATTCTCCTGGAGACGCCTCTTCCACTCCTCCTGGGATGTCTCCCCTGAGAAGAGAGGCCATGGGCTTGAAACTCCCTCTTCCAAAGCCTTTAGGTTAAAACACAGAGCTTGAACCCCAAGAGGAGAACACTAAAGTCATGAACAACCATGTCCCCTTCATCATCCTTCTTCTCTGAGGTCCTCATGAATGTGGTTTGGCCTCACAGCCGGACCTTCCTTCCCTCCTCCAATCCGAGTCTCTTTTTGCCTGCCCCAAGCTGCGCCAATGCCCTCTTCACCCCCAACTCTGCAGTCCCCAGGTCCCACTCCACGGCTCCCACTCACCCAGCTTGTAGAACGGAGCGTGCACCGCCCCCTTCACAGTGACGGGCACAGAGCCCAGCTTGCTGTTCTGAGGCACGATGATGTAGAGGAGGCCACCCCAGAGGCAGGTGATTGATTTTGTGGGCTTGTCCAAGCAGCACCGGTTGATCACCAGTGGGCCTCGGAACAATTTGCTGGCCCTGGTCAGGTCATCAGTGTGGCAGCCAATCTGTACCTGGAGCAGAGACACCCCCACAGAGTCACCTTGGGGCACGTGCGGTGGAAGGGGATAGCGCCCATGAGGTGGGCACAGGAAGGGCACTGGGATTTATGACCCCAGCCTTCCTCCCATCTATGAACCATGTATGCTAAACCTATGAAATTGCATCATTCCTTGGGTGGTATGGACCGAATCGTGTGTAACTTCCTCCCAGGGGAGTCAAACAGCTCCACTAGGGTGATGTTGAGACACTGATGTGAGGGGCACCAGGTGTTCCACGGTAGGGACTCTGGTGTTGGTAAGGGGGTGGAAGGGGTCCAACCCTCTGCTGACTCAAGAGGCCCAGCAGGGGCCAGTGTGACCGGCTGATGTAGCGGAGGGTTGATTCAGTTCCTCCTGATCTCCAAGGCTCCCCTGTTCCTTGTCCTTGGTGGAGTCCTAGAATTATTTCCCAGGATTTATGCCAATCAAGTTCTAGGATAAATGCAGGTGTAGAATAAGCCCTAACTGTCACAGCGACACTCAAGGGAGACAGAGCAGTGTGGCACCTGAATTTGTGACTAGGGTGTGTGTATGTGCAAGCGGCAGAGCTGAGGGGCACGGGGCCAGCAAGGAATAGTCTTTGGCTTCTCTCAGGAAGAAGCCGGAGTCCGAGAGGCCTTGTGCTACAGCAGGAGATGTGTATGGGAAGGGAAGGGAACCAAGGTCTGTGAATACCACTGTGTGCTAGGGGCCTTCCACGGGACACCTTCCTGTTCCCCACTCTATGGCATCAGTGAAACGCACAGAACTTCAGGGTGAGGAGGTCGTAGGTTTGAGTCCTGGGCTCTGAAACGTATCAGATCTATACATTTCAATCAATCAGCTGTGCTGCACCTGTGTGGCCTCATCCTTAAAATGGGGTAAAAGGAAATGCCCTGTGCTGCCAATAGGGTTTTTATGGGGATCAGGTAAGATGCTCCCCGTGAAAGCCAGAACACGTGGGCTCCATGTTTCCTGGGCAGATGGAGTGTGGCCTTACCTTCAGGTCAGCGGAGGCAGCGGCCTCAGGCAGTGAGACCTCTATAATTTGCCGTCCAGGTATGTACAGCCCGGTGCTCATCCAGCAGTATCGGGTGCCTGTCAGAAGCACGGGGCAGATGTTACCTTTCCTCCGATTCCATCTACCGCCCCTCCATGCGCTCTGTGCGTCTCTCCCCCTCCACACTCCCTGACTCAACTCTTGCAAACATCACCTAATGCCCCAACCCCTATCTTCTTAGAAGTGCATGGCAAAGGGTGGAGCTGACCTTCTGGAGGTCATCGGGTCCCTGAAACGAGCTACCTCATCATGCCCCAGGCCCCCAGACCCCCCAACACTGAGCTCCCTCATTGCACACCTGGATTGTTGCAGTTGACCTCAACGGTGATAGGAGATTCCGAGGGGCGCAGATAGGGGCTGCTGTACATGTCTTCAATTTCTGGGACTAACAGAGAGAGGTCACTCCCCGAGTGGGCCAGACCAGTGGCCAGGGAGAGCATAGCACCCCTGCAGCAGTCATTGATGACGGGGTTCTCTCGGGTGGCCACAGGGAGCCGGTATCGACTCAGCAGCTTCCTCAGGAGCCGGTGCACAGACATGTAGGCGGGGATCTCTTCCGCGGGGATCTGCAGGAAGGCCGCGCCATCCGGCCCCAGCTTCGCCAGCCACCCCTTCTCCACGTTCCCTCTCTTCCTGCCCATTATCACCTGGAACTCGGCCAGGGTGGAGCGGAAGTGATAGGTCCTGATTCCCGCTTTCGGAGTACGAAAGGGGCCTGGATTGAGGCTTTGGCTTGTGATGCTGATGCCGAAGGGGTTGAGGAGGAGGTTTCCTGGGAACCGAGCCAGAGGGGACACGCCGGGGTTCTTGAAGGCCCACCACCAGGCTTGGGCTGCGACAAACAGCCCCCCGCCCTCGGCTACAAACTCCTGCAGCTCCTTCACGCCCGCGTCACTCGCAGGCTCAAAGCAGTAGACGCTGGCGTCACTGGTCAGGTGCGGCTCGATGCTGGTGTCTATGCCCCCCACGGCCAGCAGGCCGCTCATTGTCCTCAGCTCCGTCTGCACCACGATCTTGCCCCGGCGGCCCGCGTCCAGCCAGCGCACGGCGTTGAGCAGGAAGGGGCCCAGTTTCCCCACAGTGAACAACACCTTGTGGCCCATCACGACCACCCGGCCGCGGCCGTAGCGGGCAGCCGCTATGACACAGCCGTGGTAGGAGTCTAGCCCCAGGGGAAAGGCCAAGGCCCCGTGCACGAGCAGCTGCGACGGGAAGCAGTCCGAGTTGCTGATGTCCAGCTCGGAAATCCCGTGCAGGAGCTCCTCCCGGTCCTCGGAGAGGTCGTCTTCACAGCTGCAACAGAGACACGCGCGCTCGTGAAGGCGAAGCTCTGCGTACCGCGCCTGGCGTGCGGCAAGCCCAGCTTCACGAACAGTGCCCTTAGCTCTTCCCGCAGAGCGGGAACCACGCGGGCAGATCTGGCCTCCCTGGGCATGGAGACGCCTTTGCGCGGAGACAGAGAAACGGGGCACTCGCTCTGCTCTGCGCGATCTCTGTGCATATATTCTCCAAAGGACATCTTGAAGAAAGCCTCGCTGTGTTTACCCAACGCTGCATGTGAACTATTCTGGATTTCGGTGTTAAAAATGCCCTTTAGCCCTGGCCGGTTTGGCTCAGCGGTTAGAACCTCCGCTGGCGGTCCAGAGAGACCCCGGTTCGGTTCCTGCTAAGGGCAGGTACCTCGGCTGCAGTTTGTCCCTGGCCCCAGTTGGGGTTGTGGTTGTGGTTGTGCAGGAAGTGGCCACTCGATGTGTCCCTTTCACATCGATATTTCTCTCTCTCTCCCCCTCCCACTCTATCTGAACAAAAATGGAAAAATGTCTTCCAGTGAGGATTAAAAAAATGCCCTTTAAGCATTATATAAAGAACTGACCAGCAGAGTGCGTGGTATTATTAGAATCACTGCTATCTTAAAATGTGGGCCAGGGGGTCCGACTGGCCTCAACTCTAGCCAGACCCTTCTGTTACTTTAATCTACTGGGATTGACTGTCTACACCCAGCTCTCTACCCATTCATTGCCAGCCCACAGGAGGGATGCATATTTCTGCTATATGGGTTTTCTGAGCACCATCTGTTCTGTCCAAAATGAAGATGGAGCCTGTGGGATTATTAGGGGATAAGGAGCAGAGTGACCTCTATAAGCAGACCTCTGAGATCCCAGAACTGGTTAGAACACCTGCGTTAAATAAGGCTGTGGCAACTGGATGGTCAGAAGGATGGTCGGCTGCAAGGAAACACTGAAAAACAGTGAATTTTAGCTTCTGCATTTAAGTCTAAATTAATCTTTAATTATTTATTTTGTATGGAGTGGGATACATTGCAAGATTCATTTTTTCCCACGTAAGGGTTTCAGGACCACTGTTGAAAAGATTCTTTTCCCTCATGGAATTACATTGGCACCTCGCCAAAAAATAATTGAGCATAAAACTGTGGCTCTGTTTTTGAACTGTCTAGTCTGTTTCATTCATCCGTATGTCTATCCTTATGCCAAAACCATGGTGGTTTGATTACGTTAGCTTTCTAGCAAGTCTTGAAATGAGGTTACATTAGGTCCTGTCATTCGTATATTATTTTATAATCAATTTTAACTTTGCCAGAGATTGCATTGAATCTATATGTCATTTGGGGAAAAACTCACATCTTAAAAATACTGAGTGTTCTGATCCATCAACATGGTGTATTTCTCTGTTTCCTTAAGTTTTATTAAATTTCTCTCAATAATGTTTTACGGTTTTCAACATACAGGTCTAGTAACATATTATGTTAAATTTGTCCATTAGCATTTCATGATTTTAGGTCCTGTTTTAATTGATACTGTATTTTTCATTTCAATGACTTTTTTTTTTGGCTGCTAGCATATAAAAATATAATTGATTCTTGTATGTTGATCTTGTATTTTGCAACCCTGCTCAACTCAATTATTAGAGTAGCTTTTCTGTAGATTAAAAATTTTTTTTTCTACATAGATGATCATGCTTTCTGCAAATAAGCATAGGTTTACTTCTTAATTTTTAATCTCTATGCCTTCTTTTACTTGCCTTATTGCATTGGCTAAGACCTTTCAAACAGTGTTGACTTAAAGCAGTGAGAGCAGATATTCTTCCTTGTTTTGTTCTCAATCTTAGGGTATCTCACCATTAAGTACATTCTTAGCTATAAGTTTTTCAGAGATGACTCCTGCCACCTTGAAGAAGGTCCTTTTTATTTCTAGTTTGCAGAAATTTTATCATGATTGGGTATTAAAATTTGTTAAGTGCTGTGTGTGTGTGTGTGTGTGTGCATGCATGTATTGAATTATATCGTTTTCTCATTCATTCTGTTAATATGGTGAATTAATTTGATGTTTGAATGTTAAATCAGCCATGTGAATTCCAAAGATAAGCTCTACTTCATCATGCTGTATCATCCTTTTCTTATATTGCTATATTCTGTTTATAACATATATATATTTTTTGGCCCGGGACTCTCTGTTCCACAGGCCGACTATCCAACCACTGAGCCAAACCGGCCAGGGCTGTTTACAATATTTTTAAAAATAATTTTTGCGCCCTGGCCAGTTTGGCTCAGCGGTTAGAGCATCAGCCTGCGGTCCCAAGAGACCCGGGTTCGGTTCCCGCTAAGGGCACGTACCTCGGTTGCAGTTTGTCCCCGACCCTGGTCGGTCGTGCGGGTGGCAGCCACCCGGTATGTTCCTTTCACATTGATGTTTCTCTCTCTCTCTCTTCCTCTCTCTCCCTCCCACTCTACCTGAACAAAAAATGGAAAAATGTCCTCGGGTGATGATAAAAAATAATAATAATAATAATAATTTTTGCATCTATGTTCATGAGGGATATTGTTCTGTAGTTTTTTTCCCCCATGGTGTCTTTCTCTGGTTTTGGTTCCAGAGAAATCCTGGTTTAATAAATCAAGTTTCAAAAATGTTCCTCCTCTCCTAGTTTCTGGAAGAGTTCATGTAGGGTATATAATTTTAGAATCAATTTTAACTTTGCCAGAGATTGCATTGAATCTATATGTCATTTGGGGAAAAATATTTTTAAAAATAATTTTGATAAAATTAATTTGATAAATTAATCAGTGATGCTATCTGGGTCTAGTTTTTTTTGGGGGGGAGCAGGATTTTTTGCACTGTTGTTGATTTTAAATAAAATTTTATTTTAAAATAAAAAATATATAAGTTGACAAAATAGTAAAGACAGTTCCTATATACCCTTCACCCAGTTTCCATAATGTTAACATAGCACATTTTTCAAAACTAAAATGTTAACATTGGTAAAATACTATTACTTAAATTCTAGACTTTATATGAATTTTGCCAGTTTTCCCACTAATGTTTTCTAGGATCCAATCCAGGTTACCGCATTGCATTTAGTATTGAAATGTGTTCTTTTTTTTTAAATATATTTTTCTTTATTGATTTGAGAGAGAGAGGAAGAGGGACAGAGAGATAGAAACATTGATGAGAGAGAACACTGATTGGCCGCCTCCAGCATGCCCCCCACTGGGGATCAGGCTCACAACCTGGGCATGTGCCCTGACTGGGAATCAAACCAGTGACCTCCTGGTGCATGGGTCGACTCTCAACCACTGAGCCACACTGGCTGGGCTAGTATTGAAATGTTTTTAATTATATATTTAACATATATTTTCATATACGTTAAACATATAACATATTTTCTGTTTCTTCTTGTGTCAATTTTACTAGTTTTTGTCTGTCAGGAAATTTGTCCATTTCACCCAAGTTGTCAAATTTATTGGCGTAAAGTTGCTATAATATTCCATTACCCTTTTAATGTCTGTAGGATCTGTATTAATGTCCCTTATTCCATTCCTGGAATTTATAATTTGTGTTCTCTTATTGTCATAACAGTATACCTAGAGATTTATCACTTTTATAATTTTTTCTAACTAGCTTTTGTTTTTATTGTTTTCTCTATTGTGTTTCTATTTCCTATTTCACTGAGTTTTGGTTTTGTCTTTATTATTTTCTTTTTCCTCCCACATATTTGGGTTTGATTTGATTATCCTTTTCTTTAGCTTCTTGATGTGGAAACTTAGGCCACTAAGTTTAAATTTTCACTTTTCTAATCAAAGCATTTCAGTTTCTTGCTAAACACTGCTTTAACTGCATTCCACAAATTCTGATATGCTGTGTTTTCATTTTTATTCCATTCAAAATATTTTCTAATTTCCTTTGTAGTTTCTTCTTTGACTTATAGAGTACTTACAAATAGGTAGGTATTCCAGATATGTTTATGTTATTGATTTCGAATTTAATACTGCTGTGATCAGGACATACTATGCATGCTTTCAATCCTTTTAATCTTGTTGAAACATTTTATGGCATAACATATGGTCTTGCTTCATGGATATTTAAAAAGAATGTGCATTCAGCTGTGGTAACCTTGTTCACAGTTTACACATTCAGAAATTAAACTGAATCAACAGAGAAGGGGGGAAACTCACTTTAAACAAAAATAGAACCAAATGAAAAAATAATTCATATGCTCTGTGTAGTATATTCTGAGAACAACAACAAAAACTACAAAAAATAATCTTGAACTTAGTGAGTCTGCTGTTGGTAATAGCATGGGAATAGTAACCACAAAGTTATTTTGTATGCACTGTAGGACTGAGCAAGTGAGTATATCATGAAGCTGTTGAAAACCAGGATTCTCACTATTCACCACTAAAAGGACCAGGATTCCCCAAAGAAATGGCTGAATCCAGTTTCCAGACAGGAAGAGGACAAGGGAAACCTGCAACATCTTGTTGTATGAAAAATTAAGTACTAAAAAAAGGATGGGGCGTGTCAGAGGACTCAAGACTTGGGAGAAGGTAGATACAGATATGGAGAGAGTGGAGGAGAAGACTTCTGTGGTTTTGGATTAATATTGGAGGTATTGGTATGAATTCAAGATTAAAACATGTATTTCTTGGCTCTGTCTTCTTAAGGATCTGGAAATGATGATAGTCCAACAGCAACAAGCATACCTAGATGCGCATGGCTTTTAAATACTATTCACCACTAAAAGGACCAGGATTCCCCAAAGAAATGGCTGAATCCAGTTTCCGGACAGGAAGAGGACAAGGTAAACCTGTAACATCTTGTTGTATCAAAAATTAATTATTAAAAAAAGGATGGGGCATGTCAGAGGACTCAAGACTTGGCTTAGTGGCTCTTTTACTTGCCAAATTTGGGACAATGGGTCCTTCAAACAACGGGACCAACTATAAATGAACTATAACACATTTGCTTTTTGTTTTCAAAATTAATAGAGATGTCACAGAATACTCCCAAAAAATGATATTGTTGTAGACATTTTGTCAGGTCAGGAAAACATGCTGTTTAAAAAATACGTAACAATATTGTGGTTATATTTAAAAATGTGATTTTATCTTTTAGAGATACACTATTGCATGGATGAAATGATGTAGTGACAGGGATTTGCATGAAAACAGCCTGGAAGGGAGAGTAGGTGGGGTGTGAGCGGATACCGGGGGGCCCCCAGGTAATGGGTACATGTGTGTCCATTGATCTATTTTTCGTTGCTCTACATGTATGAAGATTTCCAAAATAAGATATTTTCTAAAAGGAAACTGCCAAATATTTAAAATGAGTAGGTGCATATCAAGCCCATATGTTTCAGTAAAAAAATATTCATTGTATCATTCTTTATAAGAGAAAAAATTAGAAAAGAATCTTAATGTGACTCAGGAAATTTTAAAAATCTGGTTGATTTATGGTGACTCCATGGCTGAGTGTCAAATTCTCTTCTGTTAGTCTGGTAATAACCTGAACACAAGAACAGTGTTTGCTTTTTAACCTGGACCAACTCCCCACTGGGGTAATGGACTCACCTGACTAAGACTGGGATCTTGGGCATCTTCTTAGACACTTTACAGAAACTCGTGTCTCCTTTGTTGTCAGTGAAGTACACGCCCGCCACGCTGGTCACGAGGTTCCCAGGGAACGTGAACAGAACCCTCTCGTCGTCGCCCTGGTTGGCCCAATCCCAGGCTTGGCCTCCGATGAGCAAGCCTCCTCCGTGCTTCATAAACTTGACCAACTTCTCGGTCATGGTTTCGTTGTAGGCGTCAATACAGTAAACCCCCAGGGAGTCTTTCACTTCTGGCTCAAGCTTCGCTTCCACTCCAGCACCCTCGAGGATTTTGGCCAGAGGTGCCAAGGAGGGGTGCACCCCCACGGGAGCCCCAGGGGAAGAACAAAGCCAGCCCACTGCATTGAGGAGGAAGGGAGTGAGCTGGGCTTCCACCAGGTAGTCCTCGTGGGACACCACCACCAGGCGGCCTCGGCCATAGGAGGATGCAGCGATGAGGACCTGGCCCATGTCATTCAGCATCACTGGGAAGGAGGCCTCGCCAATGAGAAGCAGTTCACACGGGACGGCATCTTCAGGGACATCCCAACTCGTCACTCCATTCATAAGGGCCTCAAAGGCAGCTGAGGGGGTCGCCATGGCTGATGGGCTTCTACAGAGAGGAAAGCAAATACTCAGTGTGGTGAGAACAGATAAACAAACACATCAACAGGCCAAGCAGTTCATCCCTCCACTAGTTTGGGCAATTCTCCCCATTACGCAGATGACAATGACATTGTGAAAAGACACAGGCACTCATCGTGGGTGGCAGTGTCTCCAATCTAGGAGACCTCATCACACTCTGTCCTCTTAAACTCTTGGGGTCAAACTAAAAGGGCACCATGCTTTTCTGTCACCAACAGAAACAAACAGAAGTAAAGAATGTGTCCCCAAAGAAGATGGTTAAATATTAAGCCCTAGAACAGTGCTTTTCAACCTTCCTAATGCCGCGACCCTTTAATACAGTTCCTCATGTTGTGGTGACCCCCAACCATAAAATTATTTTTGTTGCTACTTCATAACTGTAATTTTGCTACTGTTGTGACTTAGGCGACCCCTGTGAAAGGGCTGTTCAACCTCCAAAGGGATCACAACCCACAGGTTGAGAACTGCTGCCCTGGAAACTGTGAATGTGACCTTATTTGGAAGAGGGTCCTTGCAGAGGTGGTCAGGTTAAGAGGAGGTCATACTGGATTTGAGGGGACCCTAATCTAATGACTGGTGTTCTCATAAGAAGAGGACATTTGGACACAGACAGATGGACAGAGGACAATGCTATGAGAAGACAAACCAGGACTGCAGTGATGCATCTACCAGCCAAGGGAGGCCAAAGACGGCCAGCAAACGTCATGAGCTAGGAAGAGGCATGGAACAGATTCTCCTTCAGAACTTCCAGAAAGAACCACCTTGCCAACACCTGGGTTGAACACTCCTAAGCCTCCAGAACTGGGGGAGAATAATGTTCAGTGGTTTAAGCCACCTAGTTTCTGGTCACTTGTTCCTGCAGCCCCCAGAAACTAGTACGGTGGTACAGCATGCTGTTCCCCACCCCCACCCCCACTCCACCCCACTCAGCCCACACTGATCTTATTAATCCCAGCTTGGGGAACCCAGAACTTCAGTCCAAAAAGCCTGGGTCCTCAGAGAGGAAAGCAGAGTCCTGTGGCTTGAATCCAGGTCCCAGACAAGCAGAAAGCAACAAGTTATGAAAGTTCAGCAGATGCTCACTTGACCTGTTCAGGTGGAGGAAGGTGTGTATGTCTGTGGATATGTACTCACAGAAATCCTTGGCTCCTTTACACGAGTTCCCCACTTAAGGACACTCTGCAGTGTGACCTCTACTTTACTGAAACAGTTCCCCAAGGACAGATGTGTTTTCATACTCGAGACATCCAGGGCTTGTTATCCTCACTGACCACTCCACTTGGTGGCCCTGGACAGTCTGCTCTCCTGGTCCGAGGCTCTTACCACCTCTAACCTTATGACCCAAGCCAATATCATCTGCCAGCTCTTGAACCACTGACTTTCTATCCTCCTCTTACCTCTTATGAAAATGTAGGTATTCCTTGTGATTTTATCTTGGACAGTTACTACTTTTCTATTTCCTTTATCAGAGAACATGCTCGTTCTCAAGTGATTACAAGTTCAGCTCCGGAGTTAGGCTGTCTGGGTCTGAATCTCAGCTTTGCTCTTACTGTGAAATCAAGCAACTCAGCTCAGACTTAGTTTCCTCACTCAATGAGTAGGGATAATAGGATCTACAACGTATAGTTGTCCTGAGGATAAAAGGAAATAACATAGGCTAAATGTCTTTCAATAATTTATTATATATTTATATGCTTATATATAGAAATGTAGACACATATCTATGTATATTTGCTTATAATTATTTGGTTAAGTGTAAGCTGAATATGTGCATAACAGAGAATTCTTATAAAGTAAAAGAAAACCCTAACCTAATGTTAGATTTTACAAACACAGGAATAAGCATATATTGATTCTCCCTTTATAGTTTTCATAATTTTGGAGCCAATACTACAACTAACTAGTATTATACTGAATTCTCAAGTATTTCTATGGGCCATTGAAAAAGCCCTTCCCCAGGGTGCCAACTAATAAACTCAAGCCCTATGAAAGAGCCCACTCTCTGACTGGCAACTGTCTCTAAAACTAAAGAAGTCTTACATTTATTATTTCCCCCTCAAAGTAGCTCCGCATACCTAAGCTTGATGTTCCTAGTTGTTAAAGAGGGTAACCAGAATACACGATCAGCAAGCAATGGGTTAACAAGAGCTTGGCCCTTCCCTGCTCCTCCTGGTGTCCACAAATAACCAGGACAGCAAGCCACAGTGTGAGTTGTGTCCCTTCTCCCCCTGCTCCATATCCTGTCCATGTCCTCATTCTCAATGTCCAATCACGCTACCACTAACCTAGTTCGGGTCCTCAGTAGCCCATTCCTTCACTAAACTGATCCAGTTCCTCAGTCACCAGTATCTGTTCTCAGCTCTGTTCTTCTAAAGCCACCATGGTTTAATTTCCAGAAGAGAACCCCTCAGACCTCACCTTGGCCCATGGGGGAAAATCTGAGTGCTCAGTGCGGATGGGAGACCTCTAGAGCAGGCTGCTCCTTACTTTCCAGCTGTATCTCCCACCACTCAACCTCTCCAATCTCCTGCCACTCAACCACTACCATCTCCCACCACCCAACCTCTCCAATCTCCTGCCACCCAACCTCTCCAATCTCCTGCCACTCAACCACTACCATCTCCCACCACCCAACCTCTCCAATCTCCTGCCACTCAACCACTACCATCTCCCACCACCCAACCTCTCCAATCTCCCGCCACCCAACCTCTCCAATCTCCCGCCACCCAACCTTTCCAATCTCCCGCCACCCAACCTCTACCATCTCCCACCACCCAACCTCTCCGATCTCCCGCCACCCAACCTCTACCATCTCCCACCACCCAACCTCTCCAATCTCCCACCACCCAACCTCTCCAATCTCCCACCACCCAACCTCTCCAATCTCCCGCCACCCAACCTCTCCGATCTCCTGCCACCCAACCTCTACCATCTCCCACCACCCAACCTCTCCCATCTCCCGCCACCCAACCTCTCCCATCTCCCGCCACCCAACCTCTCCCATCTCTCGCCACCCAACCTCTCCAATCTCCCGCCACCCAACCTCTCCAATCTCCTGCCACCCAACCCCTCTGCAGCTTCCAGAACACCTGATGCCCCTGGACATGCTTTCACTCTAGATTCTCTTCTCGTTCTCGTCCCTTCCTGGCCCCTCTCCTACATTTTCTATCTATTGAAATCCTGTCCCCCTAAGAGAAGATATTCACAGAAGAGGACATCTGTATGGCCAGTTGGTCTTTGAACATATGCTCAATCTCACTAGTCAGGCAAATGAAAATATAACGTTGCCCATATTGTCAAAAAAGAAGGTGGCAAAGACAGAGAAGAGGAAGAGGCAGAGAAGAAGAGGGTGAAGAAGACAAAGGCAGCTAATGACATCCAATGTCCAAAAGGCTTTGGGGACAGTATCACATCTACTAGGACTGAGAATCTGACAACCATCTGACAGTGGCACTCAGTTTCAAAGATGTACTTATCCTTAGATCAGCGAACCCTCTTCTAACCTTTCTTAGAAATAAGAGCAGAAGGTACCCTAGGCACAACTTATAACTCAGGGGGAGAGCTTCACAAATCCCCTACCCCTGCCACAAAGTGACCCCTGGTACCTAAATGGGGTGTCCCTTAAAAGATATTGACAGGAAGAAAGGTAGTGGGCCTGTGTTGCTTATTGTACCACATCCTGCATTATAATTGGATTTCAAATCCCTAAAGTAGGGTGAGTGTCTGAGGTCAGGTTCTTTGGATTTCCTGGAAGAATGAATAAATACTCTGTAGATGGATGATTGAATAATGGATTTAAGAGCCCACCTAGGATGACTTCTTCAGCAAACAGCTAACCTGGCCTTGAAAAATGATGCATATCAGAAGACATCTATAGGTGTTCTCTTCATGCCATTTTCTTCCACAAACCCTTTTTCCTTTCCCTTATATGTCCAATATCTTTCCTATTATCCATCAACTCCTCTTAAGCCAGAATCAGGGTGGATCCAACCTGTTTTGCATTTTGTCTGAGATATTCCCGACTCAATCTTGTTTAAAGGTTAATGTCATACATTTAAAAAATGGAATGCTGCCCTGGCCAGTGTGGGTCTGCGGTTAGTGTCGGCCTGCAGACCCGAGAGTCTCAGGTTCGGTTCCCGCTAAGGGCACGTACCTCGGTTGCGGTTTGTCCCCTCCCCGGTTGAGGTCATGTGGGTGGCAACCAGTCGATGTGTCTCTCTCACATGGATGTTTCTCTCTCTCTCTTCCTCCATGTCTCCCTCCTGCTCTATCTGAAGATAAATGCACAAATGTCCTCGGGTGAGGATGAAAAAGAAAAAGAAAAATGTAATGCATGTGGAAGAATATAGACAGTAAGATAATAACAAAACAATTTTAAAAAATTAAACAGACTCCCTTATACCATTCCTAGTATCTGAAGGTCTGCTTATAGCTCTCTGGAATCATTACCTCCCCCATTCCCATAAAAGTAAGCATGTTCCAAACTTTGCCTTTTCTAGTCCCTTGTTTTGATCTTACTACACTTTCTTCCTAATCCCTGACTTCCCTTGGGGTTCTTTCCCTGGCTCATACTTGCTGGCTTCTCTCGCTGCCAGACTCCCAGCAGAAGAGCAAGATGGAGGACCACTAGCCCAGGAGCGAGGCCTGTTTTGCTTTTAAGAAAATCCTGGTGCTGCCTCTTACTAGCTGTGGATCAGGCTGCCCCAGAGGGCGTTCTACCAAATGCAGTGCTGGCGGAGGACCGGTCTGCGTTCGGAGGGGCTGTCACTACTAAGTTCTGGGGTGGGATCCCTCTCTCCCCCACCCCACCCCCCTTTTTTCTCCAGGCCCTCCCAGGCCAGACGTTCGTCCCCAGAGCCAGTCCACAAAGAGCAAATCCGTGACATCAGAGGAGTAAAAGGGGGATGAGGTGGGGGGTGGGGACGGCCAGGGGAGGAGGGGCGCCGAGCGGAAAAGCTGGGATTGGCA